GAGATTTACTGCACACATGCCTGCACAGTAACCATGCCAGCCACCGGAATAGCAGCAGGCATCCCTTTTGGAGCTCAGAACAAATGCGCGTTCAAGTAAAAGTAATGTTGTTAGAGCAAGGCTGTTTCAGAGATTTTTACCTACAACCACAAGGTCTGTCTATTCAGAGCAACACTGTACCGTATTCTTCCCTGACTTTAAACACACAGAAACCACGTTCTTATCTTTCCGGAAACAGTTCTGGAGCGATATTTGTACTACAGCAAATTCACTGTCAGCCGTGAGCCACAGGCAACCTTATAAACAACATTTTCCAAAGTCCTTAGCTTTAATAGTTACTCACTTGTGAGAACACAGACACACCTGATTTTTCCTCACATCTTTTCTATATTACTTCCTGGAAGTAATAGAAGGACAGCACATATAAAGTCCAATTTGCTAAGTTTCCAGTGGCCATTTAAAAGAAAAATTAAAAAATCTAAATCTGCTTCCTAGAGGACCGAAGTATTTTAAAGTAGAAAGTATATATATGTATGCACACACACGTATACATATACTTATATACACATGCACAAATACATATATATTTAATATTATACCTAAATCTTACACAGTTAAACACCAACTCCACAGTCTAACAAAATTAAAGACAGAGTGGGACAAGCTGTCTAGCTCAAGACAACTGTGAAAAAAGTTTAATATAGGATTGGGCAGGACCACCTCAACTAGCCTATATTTCTGTGCAAGATCATAGTGTTTTGACTCTCTAGGGATGGGGAGGAACACAGTAAATTGTCCTTGGGATTAAAATAAACAGCTTTAATATGGATGCAGGTAGTCAGCAAGAAATGCTAAGGGTTGTCAGTCCATTGGTACAAAGACCTTGAGAAGCACCATCCACAATCACTCCTGACAGAAGTTTCTTTCAAGTGCTCTTAATGATACCCACAGAAGGAACGAAAGGGGCGTCTGATGTGCCCCACGCACTCAGACTTCAACACTTCAGTTCTATTCTCATAAGTCAGTCTTTTTTTTTTTCCATTTTTTCTGTGTTTTTTTTTTTAACCTATAAATGTGCTCAGAGAGAACAGCTGATCACAAATGTTTACTGAAGAAAATACAATAAAGACTAGTCTATCAAAGCAAAATTGCTGAGGGGAATGTAAACCTTCAACCTTTTGTCGAAACAATCTTTTTCTAAATCTCCAGTTTCTGGTGTTGTTCCTCAGGATTTCTTCTTTACAACGTAAAGCTCAAAGACAACAGAGTGATATTAACATGCCTGTACCATGAAGACACTCAGTTTTAGTCTCTCCTACATTAAAAAAAACCACCTTATTTACAACAGCATGATATTAAACTAGTAATCCATTAAAAAGATAACCTGGTGATTTTAATGTTGTCTATCCAGTTATTCTCCAGCACGTTTACAGTCTTCCTATTCTGATACCCCTTTTATTCAATTGCTTCCTCCACACACAGGCTTTACACGACATTGTCTGAGGCAATATAATTTCAACATCTTTCCTCTTATCATTGAACATACCAGCCTCTGCCCTCTTCCTTCCCTTCTATCCTATTCCAGTATTCTTTCTAGCATCTTCCTGCTCTGGGCATAGATCTAGTTCAGTTTCATATTCTCAGCCTTCAGTCATAAAAATCCTTCCAATGGTATTTCTCCCATCAAATGTTGGGAGAAATGAGCCTATCCATTACACATCCCCTCATTCTCCTACTCACGTTGCATTAAAATTTAACCCCAGTGTAAAAGCCAAGTCAAACAAAGCCCATGTTACACTATCCTCTGTGCAAGAGGCATATGAAAATCAAGGAACTCAAGCTAAGGCAGCAGGAGGCCTGTACGAATGAACAAGAACCTCTTGACAAAACTCAAATATAAAAAGGAAGCATACAAGAGGCTGAAGGAGGGGCAGATGACCCTGGAGAAATACAGAGACATTGTCTCTGTAGGGAAGGGGGCTAGGAAAGCCAAAGCCCATCTGGAGTTGAATCTGGCAATGGATGTTACGGACAATGAGAAGAGCTCTCCACAGGTACGTTAGCAGAAAAAAAGACTCAGGAAAACATGAGCCTGTTGCTGAACGGGGCAGGGTACCTGGTGACAAAATACGTACAGAAGGCTGTGGTACTCACTGCCTTCTTTATCTCAGCCTTTACTGAGAAGACTTGCTTTCAGGAATCCCAGATCCTCCAGACCAGTGGGAAAGCCTAGTGCAAGGAAGCCCTACCCTAGGTGGAGGAGGATCACATTAGGGAACATTTAAACAAATTGAGCACATACAAGTGCACGGGACCTGGTGAGACACACACGTGAGTGCTGAGCAAACTGTCTGGTGACATTGTGAGGCCACTCTCAATTATCTTTGAAAGGTCCCAGTGATCAGGGGAGGTTCCTGAGGACTTGAAGAAAACAAGTGTCATTCCTATCTTCAAGAAGTAGGATCCAGGGAACTACAGGCTGGTCAGCCTCACCTCTATCCCTGGGAAAGTAATGGAAGAAAAATTCCTGGAGATCATTTCAAAACATATGATGGGCAAAAAGGTGATTGGGAGAAGTCAGTATGGATTTATGAAAGCCAAATCATGCCTGACCAACCTGATAGCCTTCTACAATGAGATGACCGGCTTGGTGGATGAGGGGAGAGCAATGGATGTTGTTTATCTTGATGTTAGCAAGGCTTTCAACACTATATCCCATAAAATCCTTGTTGATGAACTGATGAAGTATGGACTAGATAAACGGACAGTGAGTTGGACTGAAAACTGGCTGGAATTGCCAAGGTCAGAAGGTTGTCACTAGTGGCATGAAGTACAGCTTCCAGCCAATCCACTGGTAGAGTACTCCGGAGTTTGATACTCATCCAATACTTTTAAACGTCGTCATCAAGGACCTAGATGATGGGTCAGACTGTACCCTCAGCAAGTTTGCAGGTGATACAAAACTGGGAGAAGTGGTCCATACACCACCCCATAGGGACCTTGAGACACTGGAGAAATGAGCCGACGTGAGTCTCATGAAGTGCAACAAAGGGAAATGTCAAGTCCTGCAGCTGGGGAGGAAATAAGCTTGGACACCAATACATGTGGGAAGCCAACAGGCTGCAAAGCAGCTTTGCAGAAAAAGACATGGAGGTCCTGGTGGACAACAAGTTCAATCTAACTCAGCAACATGCCTTTTCAGCAAAGAACATTCAGAAACTCCTGGGTTGCATTAGGAACAGCACTGCCAGCAGGCCAAGGCAGGTCATCCCTCCTCTCTACTCAGCACTGGTGAGCCAAGTCTGGGCTTCCCAGTACAATAGAGACATGGATATACTGGAGCAAGTCCAGCTTGCCAGAACGCGATTAAAGGCTTGGAGCATCTGATACACAGGGAGAGGCTGAGAAAGCTGGGACTGTTTAGCCGGGACAAGAGATGGCTTGGACCTAAATGTGTAAAAATACTTGGTAGGAGGGCGTAAAGACGACAGAACCAGATTCTTAGTTGTATCCAGTGAAAGGACAAGAGCCAATGGGCACAAACTGAAATACAGGAAATTCCATTTAAACCTAAGAAAATAAAAACCTTGTTCACTGTGAGGGTGGTTGAACAATGGAACAGGTTGCCTGGAGAGGTTGTGGAGTCTCCATCCTTGGAGATACTCAAAACCCAACTGGACAAGCTCCTGAACAGCCTGCTCTAGTTGACCCTGCTTTGAGCAGTGGGTTTAGACTAAATGACCTCCAGAGGTCCCTTCCAATGCCCCAGCAATTCTATGATCCTATGAAAACTCACGTGTTCAAACTTCTAGCTGTTGGATTGGACTGAATTACTTCGAATGGATTTCTGTCTAATGTATCAGGAACATGTTCAGTGCTAACAACTAGGTCTTAAAGATCACCAGGTTATCGACAGCTTGGTTCAGGTAGAACTGCATTAACGGTACAAATGTTTTCCAAAATAAAAACTTATTTATCTCAGAAAAAAAAAAGCTGTTACTACTGGGAATTCCATCTTTTACTGAAGGTATTTAGTCAGATACCTGAGAACAAGACAAGTTGTCAACAATTTAAGGGCAAATCAATTTTTCCACAAAAAAGATTTCATATCATCCTGAAACTGACAACAAAGTCTTGCTGAGAAGAGACATTTTAGCTTCCCCAAGCCAAAGCCTGCTAGGCACAAATGCAAATACTCAACTTGGAGTGCCTTATACCACACTGAAATTTGGCAGGAGTGCAAAAAAGATCCTTGCCTTTTTTCCTCTCCAAGGAAAAAGGTTCTAATTACACTGGAACTAAAAAGGAAGGCAGTTTCACCAAATAAAAAGATTGTAATTGCCTGTCTGCTAAATGGAATAGCTGCAGTAATTAAAAACATTCTAATGCCCTTTAGCTATTCAATTGGACTGTGTCAAGATCAATTTTTAAACCTGTACTGGGATCCTCTAAACAGGATCTGGGACCACCTAACATACGAGTGAGATACTGCCCAGGAGCCATAGTTCATCCTGCCAAAAGCTTAGGTGTTTGCTTTTCTGTAGCTTCTAGGTTTTTGTTGTATGGATAGAAACGCTATATTTTAACTGCTCTTTTCCTGTTCTGTGCAAGAGGACAAACTGTAACTTTCAAATACAAGACTAGCAATACTGTCTGGATATACACCCCTGGTACACACCTGCACATAAAGCAGAAAACCTAACAGATTTTCTCAGATCAATCCAAATATGCACTAAATATGGCCAAACAGTGCTATACAGCTGTATTTCAAAATAAGCTTCAAACTCAACAGAAGTACAATAATAAAGGTTAGGCAAACGTTAAACATCACAGAAGTATGTGGTAATGATTTGGATTGACAAACTCAAGTACTGAACAAAAGATAAAGCCTTTATCCTAAAAGAATACTAAACCAGGTAAGAGCACTCCAGTTTCTGTCATGAATACTGACATGGAGCTCTATGCTAGTATGCACATTAATTATACTTTCAATGTCTTACCAATCAATAAGATAGATGTCTGGAGTTAAGTTATTTTTTTTGAAGTGAGCAAATAACTTTGGCAGATTTTCTTCAAAGAATACCTCAAATGCAGCAAAGTAAGTCAACATCTGGGAAAATACAATGGGGAGAAAAAAGCAGTTAGCTGTATTAATAGGCTTAAATGTATTATCTGTTGTTGGATTAATGCTCTTCAAAAACAGGATCGTATGAATTACATGATACAATAAAGAGCTAAACATTTACATAAAGGACAGCATCTGCAAGCACATGGAGTTTAAGATCCACCCTATATACTGTTCTCATACTAAACAATATAGATTATTGGTTTGGGTCTTGGCCAGCTTCCTCTGGAAAGAAAAATACCTGCAGGAGAGAAGATATTTGCTGATTTCTCAAAATAATTATGATAACAGAATGGTGCTTTATGCTTGTGGCTGTAATTTAATAACACACAAAAAAATGAAAGGCCCACTGGATTATAAAATGAAACACAGAACTAAAATAATTTAATAGTCCACAGCAAGAGTGAAGCATCCAATTGGCTCCAATCATAAATCATATTCTAATAACAAAGCTCTTTCATACCATACATTTTAAAATGAGATAATAGCATTTCTATTGCAAAGAGGGAGAGATTAAGTTCACACAAGAAAAGGCAAAGATCAAGACAAAACACCTATGCAAGAGAAGCAGATTCTAACTCCCATCTGATACTGTAACCCCTGAACTGTACTCCTTTTAACACGAAGACTTTCATGTTATTTTAAAGTTTGAATATTTAGGTCAAATTTCATAACGGAGGGCATGGAAAAAGAAAAACTTCCAATCCAACTAAGAGTTAAAAACAAAAGACTTTTTAGCTCCCCCTCCCTGTCCTCTTAATACTATAGGGAGAAAAGTTAAGCAAAGTACTTGAATAATTCAGTAATTTTAATTACAATATCCCAATAAAAGCAATGAAGAATGGCTGTGATTACTTCAAAGTATGAGTTGTATCAGCATGCTTCTCCCCAAAAAACCATGACAGTAAAGGGAAAAGAGGAGCCTTTTGTCTGAAATCCTTTTAAAGGACGACAGATTTGTTACCCAGGTTTTTTTAAATATCCTTACTTCATTCAGATGAAACGGGAAAAATTTCTGTGACAGATGATGGACTACCTTCATTAAACAGCAGCAAATAAAAAATTGAGCCCGGTAGTCAGTAAGAGTGTAAGGCCTAAAAGCCAGTCAGAGATGGGTGTATTCTACAGAATAGCCATCCGAAGTTACATAAAATCTCTGAACCATCAGTTACAGCCCTACTTACAAAATGATCTGTTCACATGCTAGCACCACAGTAAGAGAGTTCTACTAAAGCGTTTCAGAAGTACTTTAGAGAAGGAATTTTACAAATAACTGCTACAATCACATCTATTGATAGTAATGCAGGCAGCTCTATTAGAAATGCAATAGCAGTTCAGGTATTTATCCTGATTAAATCAACAGTCAACAAGACATTTACTTAGTAGTAATTAAAAAAAAATTCTAGTTTAATAAAACCGTAACCAACAAAAGAAATCAAGATAAATCTGTATAAATTACTATCATTTCCACAACTAACTTACACTGGTTTTATTTTTTTATTTATTATATGTTAACACAAATCAGCATTTGGTTATTAAGTTGTAAAACTGACACAAAGATGAGGGTAGACAGCCCATCAGTATATTAACCACGGGAAGCCAAAACTGTCTCTCTTCATGTCTCACTACTCTCATTTGAAATACTAGGTACGAAGTTTTCCTTGTGGTGTGAATCACGGCTTTGTCATTTCACGATATGTTAATATTCCTTCATGTATCACCACCTCTACTCTTCTGTAAGCATTCATTTATCAGGCAGCCTCTATCTAGCCAGGCTAACAGAACTAAACAGCACTATCCAAGAGCATACCAAAAAACACTATCTCAGTTAAAAAAAAAAACCAAACAACTTATTCTAGTAAATTTAATTCCAAACTCATCTTCAGAGGAACCATATTTACACACTGAATGCATGAGCATGTACTCTTTTTCCAAGTACAGTAACAGAGATGGACTGATACTGCTTCTAGCAATGCTGTCTGCGCTCTGGTACATCTCCCCATGGGCATTGAGAACTGATGAGATTCAGGGGCTGCAACAGGGAATTACGTACTGCTTTTCCACCAGGAAATACTGATAAGATCCCTAGTGTCCTACTGTTTAAGCAACAAAAGTGATTGTTGATGTCATCCATTCCCTTGCTTTATTTCTCCCATTTGAACTCTTGAGAAGCAGATCCTATTTTCATAGTGTTAACAGGTAAGTGAGAAAGAAATACAGAATGCCATATATTTTACCAAAAAATACTTTTAAAGTAAATTAAAAACACATTTCAGGAGATGTGTCTGATTTTGCTATGGTACACAAGTAGCCCAGTGTACCTGCTAACAAGGAATTTTAGAGACTCCAGAGAGAATCAGGCAACCAGCTCCCACTGAAAATTGGAGGGGTCTGCTCACCTGATTCCTCCAGGCTCCTTTTCAAACACAGCTGCTACAGTAAGAGATAGGAAACCTGGTTCTCCCTGCAACAATCTATTTTTAGCAACCTATTAGTTTGGGATAAAAGGCACCTTCAAGACACTTCTTCTAACATTAAGGCATTTTCAGCTTTAAACTACAGCACTCAATTTGAAAAACACCTACAATAATACTCTCATAACTATTCTTTGAGCATCATAAAATAGCAGCTGAACAATTTCATTCATCTGCCTGTTCAAAAAGGTTAGTGGATTGGTTTTTCGTTTGGATTGGTTTTCTTGAGGGGGTGTGCGCGTGTTGGGATTTTTTTGTTTATCAAGCATGTTGCTTTAAAATAAACTCTGACTTATTTTCCAAGCTATGGAGCCCATCAATTTTTTTTACCCTACACGTATCTACAACATGTAGATTACGGTTTTCTTGCATACTTACAAGGCCATGGTCCACACGGAAAAATGCCATCTGACAGGGTTTATTTAAAAGGTTAGAAAAAGCAATGAAGGCATCTGCAGTATCCAAGTTCAAGATCAATACAGCTGCTATGAATGACATGCCCTGTACCTAAAGAAAGGAGAAGTGTTACCGTTCAGCAATAACTGTATTCTTCCAAGAATACTGCCTCATTTTGTCCTCATAATCACTAGTGTTTAATGCACTCGCTGAGCTGCTGAATTTTGCGACATGTTCAGAAAGGCAGATTTTTTTTAACCCACATGACCCTTTGGTATTGAACGTTCAGAGTATGGAAGCCAATGATCCCCTCGTTGCCTCCTTTCAAAGACTCTAAGTAAAACTCCTAAGACAGGCTAGGGTGACAGCACTTTCAAATACGCAGAACAAAGATTTTTTTGAAGAATAAGCTGTTTCTAAGCAAACCCTCCTCTCCTAGGGATGGGTCATATATACCCTTATTTGTGGAAAGCTGGACTAGGACACTAGAGACAAAGCCTGTTCTTTCCTTCTTCAATCAATTACCAGCAGTTACAGACAACTGCAATGACTCATTTGACAAGCACTAAGTTGCATTTTAAGATTAAGCTCATGTTTCATTTACCATAAGCTCATAATGTTGTTGCATTATTCTGCAAAGTGTGCTATGGTATCAATGCTGAATCTAGGCAAGACTCACTCAGAGGGTGTAACGCTGCCATTGCAGAGTCACATGGACCAAGGTGTGGCAGTCCTCCCTGCAAACCTGAGGAACAAGCTCCTTCCCAACGCAACAGGTTCCATGACAAATGAAGCACGCCACCTGATCTGCCCTTTTGCCAATTTCCCAGCAGTCACGTTCAGAGTTTTTGCCAAGCATCACATGCTACTCACGGAATAGGAATGTTATCTTTCTACATTTGCCTTCTCTAAAATAACTGCTACCAAATAAAGAATAAGCTCCTATATATATATCCCTGCCCTGGGAAAAAAGACTAAATGAAGTATCTGAAATCCACTCAGTCCTCTTATAATCACTACTTCAAATACTTTGAGGGAGCTCACATAGCCTCAATGGGCATTGCTTTAAAGACTGTTCCAGAAGCTCACAGTGCTAAGGCACAGAAATGCATATCAAGAGGAGCAAGATACTCAACTCAACAGAATAGTCTCAGTAAGACTGCCATTAAGAACAGTATGTACTTCAAAGGACCAATTTAACTACATCTTCTCTTTTGGCTCCAATTTTCAAGCACTACAAATATGTACTTTTGAGTTTTCCAATTACTTAACCTGTTAAAAAACTGAAATCTAGCAACAGAACCATTACATACACTTCTCAAGCCTGTATTGGAATAGAAGACAGCACACAGAAACCCCACAAGCATTCACAAAATCGTTTAATACTGGTCTACAAAGGACTGATTAACACAATCCTCCCTCCCCCTAGTTCTGCCACCCACCCCCAAAAAAAATTTTCTTCACTTACATAGCCTACATCAGGTCTGTAACAAGTATAGGCTCCTAAAATACTGTGCAACGTGTCATGGTAAGGACCACCCTATAATTAAACAAAAACAAGACAATACATCTGAGTGTATAACAAACATTAAAAACACCCTTCTGTACTACAGACAGTATCTATTACTTCTGATGAAGGACACATTATTTCCCTATGCAGCTTTGAACAGCCCCAAGTTTTTCAAAATAATTTTGGCTTTAAAAGCATGAAACAGCCCTCCATACTACATTTATTACAAACGCATACAGTTCATCCAATACATCAATTACATATTAAATCCTCATACAAGAGGAATGTAAACCTAACAGATTCCTTATAGCTTAGCAGCACTTTGACAATAGTGCCAAGAAAGCAAAACACTAATGAGAATGACTTAACTGTCTATTAGACTAGAGGCAGAATTCAACCATGAAGAAAATAGTTAAAACAACAATATGCCATAACACACACACAGCATATCAAGAATGACATGTATAGCTGAAAAGAATTTCACACTGTTGACTATTAACAGCTGCCATATTCTACACTAAGTACTGTAACTGGCTGAGAATTTCCAAAGGGAGAAGTCTTCCACCCAGAAATGTTGACTTATCACAATCTAAACTTTTTACAGGGCTGCTGAAATTTGTGTATAGAAGGACAAAATATCTGGTTACAATGAGTTGTTAAAGCATACCAAAAACATCCAAGTTAAACTGGTCTTGCACAGAACAAAAAAAAGGCCACCAAATCTTGCTTGCTTGAGCTGTGCTCTCTCTCACTTACCGTGTATTTGCAACCCAGCAGTGTTGATTTACTCACTTGGAAACACTCACCTGCATCACTTTATCAGACAGAAACCAGCATGGACTGGGCTAGATGAATCACGATTAGCCAACAGATTGGTTTTTTGTCTCTTCCAAATGTATAGTACCTTGAGGTTACTCTTTTCTAGATTATTTATAGTTTTCCAAAATCTTTAGGAACTTTCTCCTCTCAAGATGTCTACTTCAGATTTGAACTCAATGGGCTGTTTCAACCAAGGGACAGGCAAGATTATGTAAACTTAATTTGTCTGAGAAGTCAAGACAAAAGTTAACATTGCTTACTTGCTGGAATATACAGAGATTAGGAAACGTTCTTGAGATATCCAGTTTTATTAACTCCAAGCTTGCTTCTCTGTCAGCTGCAGAAAATCCAGCATCTACAATAGCCAAAGTTACTGCATTTATTACATGGACCAATGTACGCTCTGTCCGCCGCGGTAAGGGTTAGCTTTTGCACAGTTCATTTATTTTGATGTGAATGCTAGGGAATAAAGGTATAGACAGGACAATTCCCTGAATTCAGCACACAGGCTAAGAAGCAAGTATGTCCTGACTCGAAGCAACCCTACAGTGCACATTGACCCTCAATATGTTTCGAAGCGATGGAGGGCAAGACACAGAACAAGGCAGGTCAGGCACTTTACTGTTATTAGCTGACAAATCATTAGACAGACACAAGCCTGTTACCTTTGACCCCTCGCCCTCAACAAGGCTTCCCAGTATCTCCTGAAATAGCTGCCTCTGTGGAAAGGTTGTGGTGGGAGGGAGAAGTCCTAAAGCAGAAGCATTTGATGATGCCACCTGTCTCTACTACTGTCAGCTGCCCTTCCAAAAATCATGTTTATTTACTCTGTATGTGTTGTTAAAGATCACAGACATGGCAATACACTCTCCTTACAGATCTCATACAAAGTAAATTTCTAAAGTGTTAGTTTTCTTTCTGGTATCAAAAAGTTTTATTTGTATTTTGCCTGTTCTGGTAAGTATAGGTGGGAATTACCTACTGCCACTTATTGAGCAACCAAAAAACAAGAGTTGTCACTAGCCAATGCTTACACCAATCACATGAGCATATACACTCCAGAAAATAAAGTGCAAGAGGAAGCCGGAAATGTACTACATGTCATCTTATTTAAGATGCAGACAATCTTAAGAGAACAAAGTAGGGGACTTCCAATCAAAAATATTTTTCTGTTGATAAATGCCAGTATGTATATTCTCCTTTTTGTGCTCAGCATAATTACTTAACCAAAGGCATTTTCAAGCACCTGCATGTAGTTTTATACGCTCTCAAAACCAGACAACTCTTCCAATCAATTAGTAAATCTCAAACCACTTCATCTGCAAAACTAAATTGCTGCTCTCTGAAACACACCCAAGAGATGGGCACAAAGCTGCAATAAGGGACTAAAATGCAATTTTCTGCTATAATTTGAGTTTCAATTCCAAAACTACAGATGCAGAAAGTATTTTAGTGTTGCAATTCAAATTATAATCCCCAAACTCTTCTAGTTTTCCTATAAATTAGCATCAAATAAGAACTGTACCTAGACATAGTTTATAAAGAAAAATGAACAAGTGTGTTTTGTAAGAGACTATAGCTTCACTGGAAAGAAAGAATACAGCTATTTCTTGCTTCCACAAGAAGCAGCTTTCTTTTTACCAGAGGGATCTTTATAGCTGAAATTGTTAGTAAAGTCTGTGATTTCATTTTAAGGAACAATTTTACACAATCTGTTATTTTGTAACACAGCATAAAACCTTCACATAAAGCGTACCTTCACATTCTACTTCAGCCCCTCCTGTGCTAAGTGATCGCCATTTCTCTTTGGCACGAGCCAGGCAAATATCATACAGTTCTGGAAAAAGAAAAACAGAGAAAACCGTGTTCACTACTTGTATACGCTCATGTCCGCTGTCAAGTATTAACTACCTACCATACGAGCAATGCTGGCCCAGTCATTACAAGTAACTATCTCTAACACAGTAGTTGAATTTCTAAGTAGGTTATGGTTCTGAAAGACTTGTTACACTGACCTATAACTTAATCTTAAGTGAAAAGGAAAGGCAACCTAGGCACAAGTTGCATTTTATGTTCAAGGATTTACTTTTCTTGCAGTGCACTAGTGTTCAAAGTTGTAATCGGAATGGATAATTGGGGTAAGTCTGGAAAATTCCATGTAAGGACTACACCCAAGGTAACTGAGCCAAGCACAGAAAAGCAGCACAATACAGCAGGAGTACAGGCAGTCTACCACATATCCACGTTGGAATTAGTTACATGTTAGTCTTTCAGAGCTATATGTTTTTCTGTACTCTGAAGTAGCACACTATTTCTATTTTCAGAAACACACACATAAACGAAAGTACAAATTTTCCCAGGGGTCTTTTAATCTCTCACAAACCTAATGTCTTGCTCTAAATCAAAGGAAGCACGCTATATGCATACTCATAGGCATTACAAAATTAACAATTCTAAGTTTCAAAAAGAAAAAAAAAAGCTTGAGTCATTAAGCCTGACCATCTCCATCTAACATCAAAGCAACACACAGTGACAGCAATAATCAGGAACAATTCACAGCAGCAGTCCTAGAGCAGTTACAAGATTAAAAGACATGGTATTTTTGAACAAAACATGTCAAAGCACCACAAAAAAGCATAACTAGATAACATCTCATACCCACACCTCAGGTTCTGATACATCATAATAAATACAAAGAGAAATAGTAAGGGGACAGTCTTGTAAGACAATGTAGACAAAACAACAGTCTCACCATGGGTGATGTTTAACTCATTGCCAATTGCCAAGCTCCAGACTTTGCCCCTCACACTCGGTGGGATGCCCTGCCACCACAGCTCTCGAACTTTACGGGAACAACACCTATTTAAAGTAAAAGGGATTGTTTTAAGAAATATTTCACTGCCAGCTGAACTGCTGAAGGGATCCAAACCAAGATGAACACAACAGGTCAAGAAGTCAAACGTGGTTTCCACATACCCATTCTTTAGTAGTATTTTGCTTTGAACTGTAAAGGAAAGCTTACTTCCTTCCGAGTTCATGGCTTATTTTGACAGAAGGACTGTAATCACAACATCCGTAATCTGCAACCACACTTGACCAGCAAGAATCATAGGGGACAGAAATAAACAAATGAAAATGAAATCCTTATCTATGCCACTGCCTATGCTAAAGACTGGACAGACTTAAATCTCCATGTAAAATGAAATACAGAAACAAGTTAATGGAAGTCTACCCTCTCCCCTCTGTCATCACCCTGCTGTGCAAATGAGATGTGCAGTTTCCCACCCGGCTTTGCAGCTCTAACCCTCCAAAAAAATGCATGAAGATGTAACAAGTAAGAACTTTTAGGTGGGAGCACAGAAGACATTTTAACAGAACACAGGTTTGAAATGGCTGCAGCTGATGTTCATCAATCTGAGAGCCCAGAAAGAGGAACAGAATAACACCTAAACACCAATGAAAGTTTGTGGTAGTGACAAAACCCACAACAATCTATTTATCTAAAAGCAGATTCTGAACTAAAATGTAAAATAGTGAATACATTGGGGAACATCTGGATTTATAAACCAATCCAGGAAAAGGTGTCCTTATTTTAACAACAGCCATAACAGATGCATCTTCAAACACTGAAGACAGACATGTAAATCTGCAATTTGCTTATACTTAATTTAATACTTCAGCTCTCCAGAAACGCGTTTTCCAACGAATTCCATCCACATTTTTAACATACATTCTCAGGACAACTGAACTCCATGATTAAGCAAATTGCAATTGTGAGTGCTGTGGAGGTTGGTTTTTGTTGTTATTGTGGTTATATTCGGGGGTGGGGGTGGGTGTGCACTGTTTTTTTTAAGGTGACTAGCAAAGTCCATGAAAAACTGGACAGTGAAGGTAGTTTACCAATTGCCTGTGCTGTGTCTTTGTAGGAAATTTTTTAGCACTTAACATTTTTTTAAAATAACTTTTCCTTACTTCTCTTTTCCATCACTTGATTATCCCAGCAGGTATACCACTCTGTAATTAAAGAGGCTTCATAATACCATACACGTACTTCAATCTACATCTGATATTATAACATCAACAGCTCAAGTAGTCAAGGAAAGCTCATTTCTGGTAAGCGCATAGTGTTCAAGCATTATGCTTTCTGCTTTTACATTCTCTACCACAAATCACTCCTCAGTGTTTTACGGTTTCTGAATATCCTGAACCTCCATTAAAGACAAATAATAAAAACTGCATCACTTCCAGCCACCTTGTAGAATTAATGAAACATATGTTGCTCATTTTCTTTGTAGCTGTCCAAAAGCGACTTTCAAACAAAAGCTTCCAAGACCATTTAAAATTATACTTGCTAACTTTGTAACTTCTCTTCAGGATACAGACTCAGCAATTTTACTTAAAACTCAGTATAACATACTGTCTTACATAGTTTCCCAGTTGGGCAAGATTTCATTGTTCCAAGTTAAAACAGCACTGCCAATGCTGTCTTCCAGTTTACAGCGTTCTTCCAGTTGTTTCTTTCTCTTTTGGGCTTCTTTAAGCTCTGCAGAAAAGCAATTTCCTTTTTAAGTTAATAAAGCCAGAAACCAAATATTCAGAGTTAGCTATTCATGGCTATACAGCAACGTAAAAGCACACTAGATTCACCTAAATGTACAGTGGACTGTTCAAATTCTAAAAATTTCCCAGACATACAGGAAGCTAATCAGTAATGCCAAATGTGAATAAAGAAAAAAGTGGAACTATGCATAAGTCCCATTTTCGATGGATGGGACAAAGGGACTTGGATAATATAAGGCTCCTCTGACCCTTCAAATCTAACCCCATTAGTAACTCTGAATTAGCATCTCTGACAGCCAACAGCCCCACCTAGTAGGGTATTTCCTAATAAAGCCCCACCCCTTTTTTTATGGCAGACTAAAAAATACAGGCTAAAAAATACAAATTTTGTATTTTACTTTCACTCTTATGTATTGGTCTTTACTGTAAATTATGATTTAGATATACTGCCAGGAAATCACGAGCCACATTTTTAATGTTACTTAGCGTATGGTAAATCTAAATGTCATACATCACAAATATATATACACACACACTGGAAACCTTCAGTTCGTTAAAAAGAATGCATTTTTCATGTTTAGTTTAAACATATTTTACATTTTTACATTATCACTCAGTGTTTCTTCTTGCATCATCAACTACTATTTTTTCCACAGGCAAATTTGTTAGACATGCAATTTAACGCACGCAGGCAGACACTCTATAGCAGCACAGTGGAAATACAGGACATGGTGCGTGCACACACACACTGTTTACAATATAGGAAGGTACTGACCTGGCAAGGAAAACTAACTGAAGAACAGCAGTACCATGAACAAGGTCTTTGGAATGAACACACACAACCTGATGGGTCCACTTTAAAGCCCAACAGAAGCTGTGCCTGAGCAGAACCATACCAACTGCCTCCTAATATTTTCAGCTTTGATATGAGCTCTTTGAAAGCCTGCCTAAATGCAGGCTTTGAATTCTTCTCTAAACAAAAAGAGGATGTTTACACTTTTTTATTTCCTGACCTCTACAGAATACATCACTCTGCAAAGTTTTTCATCTGGAGTGACTTTTGGGAAAATGGGTTTGTCAGGTTATTTATCTGGACAGAATGACATACTCCAGTCCTGTGAAGACAGCAGAAGGCCCTGGCCCATTGCCCAACCTGAGCATCATCCCATTTCTCCCAAACCATCTACCCTACATGCAAAGAAAGAAGAGAGAAACTCCTTTGGACTACTACACATTAAGTGGATATACTAACACAGGAGTCACATGAAGTTAGAACTTCACTGGTAGGTGTATGATGTTCAAAACCACAAGAGGATACTTTTATTAATCTGTCAACTGCAGAAAGCAAGCAAGTCCTGTGTTCATATCACCTTTCCGCTGTTTCATATGGCTCAGGGATCTGGCCAGCTGGAAAAAAAAGTATTTCCAGTAGCTCTCACTGGACACAAAACTTCCACAAGTCCAAATTTCCTATTATTGCAAAGCTTGTTTTTATTAGAAAACCCAGATGGTAAAAAATATCAGCGGAAGGAAACCACAACGTTCAGCTCTACCTGATGTGCGTAGTACAGTGTTGCCGAGACACTTCTGTGAACAACGTCAGACAAGAAATTATGAGCAAAACCTTGAGAAAGCTGTAAATTTTAAGTGGGAGACAGATTATCAAGTGAACATAACTACATACAATTTCCTATGTGGAAAGTTATGTATTTATGTACTACAGCCTCCACAGGTTGTTCCCAACATGAAACTATCAAATATCCTGTAGTTATCTAAGTAAGTCTAGTCTTCACTAATTTGACTGATAATCTACTTCAATATATTAGTAAGTAAGCTTTTAAACCCACAAACAGATGCCACTCAATTATTTAAGAGTTACAAATCAAAAAATTGTTTCCTGCCGGATTCTAGGATTGTTTTCTTTTTCAGCTTGGCATGGGGCTTTTTAATGAAACTACCGTCATCCCTCTCTCTTCTCTGGATTGATTCTTCTTTGAGGGGAGGTACAGATCCTTCACGTTACAGAGCAACAGACTGACAAAAGCACATTTCAGGTTTAGAAAGACCCCTTAACTTTACTTCTCTCCTCTGAAGACAAGAAATTCCATCACCTCTTTTTTTCGCCTGAACGACCATTTCTTCATACTGTTGTCTGTGTTTCTGGGCTTCTTCTGCTGGTTTTGCGGGGAGGTTCCTTAAATTTAAAAAATAATAATCAGTATTTAAAGTTGGCAAGCCTGTCTAAAGAAAATTCTAGACACTTCTAAGAGAAAAGCATATACTGCCTCTTGTCAAAATATTTGATCAAAGAGTAGAGCAACAAGTCCTTGGAAAGAATTTTTTTTTTTTTGCCAGAGTCAGCAGAAGAGAAGGAAAGAACACTGACCAGCTACAACTACTTTTATACACAAAATATGCTGAGTAATTTCCTTATGTTTAGTAATTTCAGCATTTTTATTATTAAACCAACTGAACCCACAGGCTGATCTTCATAAATAAAGGGAATATACTGGTATATACCAAGCTGGTAGTTTTGATTTCAACTGATCTCTACAGATAAGATACACGACCATACTCTCTCTTACTGTGCACCTCATTTAAGAGTTACGTCCACAACTTTCTTCACCCATGCAGTAATGACTTCCTACACCAGCCTCCTTTTCCCCTCTGCTCTCTGAGACCCCATTTCTATTTTAAAGGCTTAACTCCTACCTCTCACTTACACAGCAACAAGTGGCACTGGAGTCATCCTCTATACTCTCCATTTATCAATACCAACACAGCCATTTTGATTTGTGATTAAAATTTGTGATTAAACTGGTAACACCTCTGCCATACAAATACACGCGGTCGTATGTCAGACCACATTAACTTTAAGCTAATCGTATTTGTAATTAACATAACCACTATGTATCTCATACAACTACAGGATCACCAAAACATCAGAACAGGAAATGACTAAGTATTTTGTTCTTCTGTATTGTAGAACACTGTATGGTATTCCTAGGACCGTTTCTATCTTTGGTTAATAAAAAAGATATGCAAAAATTCACTTTCACATTCCTGTAAGGTGTCACACATAAGGCAGCTGCTAGCCATCAGCAGTCACCATTAATAGCAGTATGCTTTACTATTTACATAATCATGTTACCTGTGAAGTATGCATAGTCATGTGATATATGCCTATGAATATTTTTTAAAATCAAGATTGTTACAAGAACAAGAAAAGTGGATTTTTCACATTAGTGTCATTGTTAACCACAGAGAACAATCTACTCTTTTCTGGTTTCATTTATGTAAATTGACCAGCATCTTTTTTAAACCCAGGTCTTCAGAAATGGTGTAAGTTAGGAAAAGTTTGGAAGGGAAAACCAGATGAAACAATGCAAGTTCTGCTAACTTAAATTCTACCACTTAAACTACTTGTCCTATCTCTTAATGACATCACCATACATGTGAAATGATGTTTAGTATCTATTAAGATTTTTCCAGTTACAGCTAGAGGGACTATGGAATATTTATTGATTCTTCCTAGAAAGTTTTACTTAAACCCTACAAGTGAGTGCAAAATGAAGAGCAGCCATTTCAGAAAAAAAACCTCACTGCATTTTTCTTCCGGAAGTCTTAAATCTTTTTGTCATAGGAAATCAAAAATAAATTACTTAAAGCCTAATATGTTAAAAAAAAATAGTATGCAAACTGTAAGTAAACAATTAAAAAAGATTCTTTAGAAAGATTCAGAGGACAGGACTGCTGTCCAGAGCAGTTTTCCATACTAGAGGAAAGAAATGATGATTCAATTGTCTAGAATCTTAAAAATACATTTCTGCTAGGAGTTCCTCAGTCTATCAACAGTAGGAAAGAAAGCAAAATCTGAATGTTATCCTGTAATGTATCACTAATTTGATCTATGAACACTGTACTTCTCAGATTATCGCATATAAAGAATGATTTTTTAACAGACAGGTTTTAAATACAACAAATAAGCTAGTATGTATTGTTTCCAGCTGTACACAATAAAATCTCCTATAACAAATAATCACTCTTACATTGTTCCAGATTTCCCAAGAAGTCTTGTCACATAGTCTACCAGTCAAGCCAAAAAGTGTCTTAAATGACCCTACAACTAGACTACTTTGATATAAGCATTCTTCATACAGATTTGTTGATGAACACAGACCTATGTTATGCCAGTTCTTTACACCAATGCACAACTATACTAAAAATGCAGATGCCATACTTGTAAAGCTGAGTACCATTCATAAATTGACTAAGCATGACTGAATTTGTGTAATTCAGGAGCAAACCATGGCAGAGCAGCTGCCAGTAAATCGTTACAGAGTTAGTCTGCATATGCAAGAACCTCCTTGCAGTAACAGAAGCATGAAACAACTTACCAAGTACTTGACAACCTTTAAAATGGGATGCTGAACCCACTGCAGAACAATCATTACATTGTTCCATTAATTATGGAGGTGTGGTCTTTCTCTGTGTAAACAGGACACTGCATCCTTGCTTCTCAATTTCTTTAGCATATACCAGCTTCATTTTTATGCTTACATTCTCTCAGGGAAAATAAAAATCCCTTATTCATGTTTAGAAGCTAGAATTACTCAAAACTAGAGCTCTGCTCTCCTAATTACCTCCTTTCATACAAAGCCATTGCTTTTTATTATAAAATAAGGTTACTTTTGTTTCAATATTTTTTCTCATAATCATCCCACTTTCATATTCAGTAGCCTGAAAAAAAATTCTACTTTAAATTTTAAATCATATGTTTAAGTTAGAGTAATCAAATACAAACAGTAAGAAAAGCTTTGCTAGCCTAATTTTAAAGGGACCCTTACTGTGGTACTTCCCAAAACTTACGCTGGTCTGTCCTCCAAAATAAGTGCTGTAGTGGAGAGTGGTTCAAAATCAAGATTCTTCCTCACATTCTGTTTAGGGGAGAGTGGTCTGTGAGCTCGTCCAGTTTTTTCTTCATATTCCTAGAGAAGCAAAAGACAGGGCAAGTTAAAAGAGTAGAGAACATCAAGATGACGCACATGAGAATTTAAATAGGGTCTACAAAAGTCTTCAAAATAATGCTTTCACACCTCTGCCCAACTGCAGTCCCTTTAGAGCTTTCCAACTAGAGCAACCTCAGAATCGAAAACAATGTTAAAAATGTATGTTCAGGAGTGACTTTTGACGCTTTTTTCCATTCCTTCTATTTGTAGAAACATCTTAAGTTCCTTCAGCTGGCAGCCTGCTTTTACAAAGTACTGCTAAGAATGAGCTTACAAACAGCAGATACTATCTGAGGTATAAAATAAGACCTAATTAAAATATTTTTGTTTTGATTTACATGGTTTTGAAGTTGAAGCCAAAAACAACCACAGGCTCCTCATCTTAAAATCTCATCATAAGATTTCTCCTACCCAAGCTATTTTCAGATGCAACAGTTCAATGATGGCAAAAAAAAAAAAAAAGCAAGCTTAAAATCATGGTTAGACAAATCCCACACTTGTTATTATGCCTTGAAGTACAACAATCCTAAATCATAACAGAGCATAGTGTATTAACTGTAAGGGACTTCAGGGCACTGGAGTGACTGGTTGAAGGATCGGGAACACAGGTAGTGTTTTCCTCAATCCCTACAGTGGCAGGGAAGGATAGTGAAAGGAACAGGA